AATAATTCTTGAGGGCTTAATTGATCCCTCTCACAATCTTCTATTTATAAGAATAAATTGATACACAAATACATGATAAATAGGGTAACCCTAGACACAATATAATCATGATAAATAGGGTAATCCTAGACACAATATAATCATGATAAATAGGGTAACCCTTGACACACTATAATGATGATAAAATAGGATAAATATCCTAACAGGTTCAATTAAATAAAGGCCCTATGGGCTGCTTGAAGTTTTTTTGTTTTAGAAGTGGGGGAGCTACCGGAAAACAAGACATTTGTGTTACATGATTATGTGGTTAATGTTTGACTATGTGTAATCAAGTTTTTCAGTTACAATTTGGTTCTGAATAACTTTTGTTTATAGGAATGTGGATATTATACTTAGCTGGGGACTTCTATTGAAAGATTTGTTGGAGATTTTATATCAACTAAAGATATAATCAAATTATAGTATATAAGTGAGTGTAGAATTTCATCTTGCAAGTTGACTTTCTTGACATCGAGTTAACCTTAAAATCCACTTTTGAATAAGATTCAAATACCAAAAAAAGGGATAATGACATATAACTAATTATGACCTTTAGTCCTTAAAATTTCGGTCAAATTTCATTTAAGTTCCCGGAGATAAAAGTGAATTTTTAGTTTTTCTAATTTAAAAATATTTTAGTCCCTCAAATTGTAGTCCTCCAAATTAAAAGGCACTTTAGTCCCTAAAATTAAAATTGTTCTTTTAAGTCTTCTAACTTTGAATAATTACTTTTGGTTATCAAAATTGCTAGAACAATTTAAGAAATGATTCATAATGGTTTTTGAAAGATAATTTACTTTTCTTCCCTATTTTTGTCATTCTTCCATTCTCCTAATTGTTGCTTGGGTGATTGGTATTACTATTACTGTTAGATGTAACTGGCTTAGGTCCGTTTCTTTCTATTTTCTTATTTATAAATACATAATCTTATGTGTTACATTATGGATTCAGTCTGTACCTCTGTTTTATTCTAACAATTCCATTGATGTAGTTTGTTTTTATCTTCTTTCTTTATTACATCTTTGTAACATTATCATTTATGGAGTTTCCACCAAAGTTTTTGTTCAGATTAAAGTAAATTTGCCTATGACAAGAATTGTATGAACACAATGTTTCCTTTTGCTTTACTAGATGTTGGGGTTTTTAAATTATTTGCAAACTTATCTTAAAGCATTATTTGATAATTTAGATTTTGGAGGTTTAAAATTGTTACGGATTGTTTCTATGAGATTGTTAGCCATGATATTGCAGAGGCAACTTTGTAATTTATTTTTATATTATAAAACTAAAAAATCATGCTTAAACTTAAAGGAACTAAAATATCACTTTTAAATTTGAGGGACTTAAGAACCACTTCTAAAATGATAGTTGACTCAAATTTTAGGGATTAAAAAGGTATTTTAGCCAAAAATGTTAAAAAGTGAATTTTAACATTATTATTTTTGTTACAGTAGTGTCATTGTTGACGTGCATGTTAATAGCCACGTCAGTGACGAGTATTGTGCTGTTAGTTCCAACGGACAAAACACATTTTCTGAAATTTAGGGACTCAGCAAAATTTCAATTCTAAAGAAAATGGCCGAAATTTGGGTGATGAAAAACATTTAAGCCTTGACTTTATTCTTTTTGAACAAATAATCTGACTGATAGTCTTTAGAAGGAGTTACATTTTTCCTCCGGCAAATATGTCATATTTAACAGATGCTTTGGGATTGAATACTTCGCCAGAACTATGTCGATATGACCTATAATTGTTAAATCTTATAGATTATAGATTAGGTGGAGATGTCATCATCATATTCGGTATGCAATGTACTGGTTTTAATGTTTCACTAGTAAACCACAATCAAACAAATTGTGATGGTTCAAAACTGCAATTACCCGCCAATTATCCATTTGATCTTTTAAAGATTTTATTCTATCCTATCACTTAACGTTTTGTTTTTTCAAGAGAAGAGGAAGAGCTGGTCGTGTTCAACCTGGAGAATGTTATCATCTCTATCCTAGATGTGTATATGATTCTTTCACAGAGCATCAATTACCTGAAATTTTGAGAATGCCGTTGCAATCTCTCTGTCTGCAAATCAAAAGTTTGAAACTAGGAAGTATATCTGAGTTTTTGTCTAGGGCTTTACAGTCTCCAGAGATACTTGCGGTAATAATAACTCTGACATAATTTTGTGTTATAACTTTATCTCCAATTCATGCACAATCCTTGTTATATTTGAAACACATTCACTTATTTATTTCTTTTTTTATTACCCTGTATGTAATTTGTTTCTCACCTCAGTTTACCGATCTTTTTCATAGGTGCAAAATGCAATTGAATATTTGAAAACAATTGGAGCTCTAGATGAGAATGAGAATCTGACTATTTTAGGTTGGTTGATCGTTATCAGGCATGAAAAACTGCTAACTGATTATTTTCATTTAAACTATAGTCTCAATTGGTTCATCAATTGTCAGGGCGCCACCTGGTAGTGCTTCCTATGGAACCCAAACTTGGCAAGATGCTGATATTTGGTGTTATATTCAATTGTCTGGATCCTATACTAACGATTGTTGCAGGCCTTACTGTTAGATGTCCTTTTCTAACACCTTCAGATAAAAAAGATGTAAGATTTTTCTATTTTAGTGACCTAGATTTTTTTGATTTGGGTGTTAAAATGATGTAAGCTGTCTGGCAATATCTACTGTCTTGCAAATGTTGTTTTTTGATGTATTTTGAAAAACCTGTGTAGGAATAGGTTCTCCTTGTTTCAAAGTGTCATCTCTTCTTTTTTCTTGTATGCTTTTCAACGTCTTTGTTTGTGTATGATGGTGTGTGGTTGTAAATAGCAGATAATTAGGATAAAAAATAACCTCTATTTTGTTATTGATTTGGAGGAAATATCATTAAAATCTTTCTCTTTATTTCGACATATTTTTCAATTCCTTATTGGGCAAAGTTTGTTTGTTAAAAATAAAGGTGATGAAAATGTAAATAGTGTGATTGTTATTGATAAAATAATTTCATATTTTCCTACACATTTCTGATATTGAGAGTTTGGTTTTCTCTGCCATTTAAATAGCCACCATTCCTGCTATCAGTCTTGTTGCTGTTGTAGTTGAGGTTTGTGGTTGGCCAAAATGGTGCATCCCATGCTGGCCATCACAACGTCAGTAGTTGCATAACTAATGGAGTAGCCTTGTACTGTCTTGCGCCACCACTAGTATTGATGTGTTTACACTCCTGTGCCTATCTTTAATGAAGCTCATTCATCATCGCCACCTCCACAAATAGGGTCGTTTGGACCTCTTAAGCCCATTCTAAGGGATAATGATGTCTCATTTCGATTTGATTTGGATACATTTGAGCTTTCAACTTTATTCCTATGTTGAAAGTCCCACATCGACTAGAGATAAGACTCATTTATAGTGTGTGTGTGTGTATATATATGTATATAACTTTTTAAGTCGGTTTTGTGAGATTGAGTTAGGATTAAAGTTCACTTCTTAACATGATATCATAACCATAGGTTAGAGCCTATCCTAGCAAGATTTGTGTTTGTTGGGCATATCATTCCACTTGCTATCGGACCACCCACTAGTGTCTAGTCCCATGGACTATATCTCGACATAAGGAGTGTATTGGAAGTCCCACATCGACTAGAGATAATACACATTTAGACTATATATGTGGGTGCAAACCTCAACTTATAAGCCGGTTTTGTGAGGTTGAGTTAAGCTTAAAGTTCACTTAACATCCTAATGCGTTCTCTTTGTTACGCATTTGTTTTGTGATCTATTTAATGTTTGAGGTGAAATTCATCCCTTTGTGTCTTAATGATCTTCCTATTTGATGATAGAAATTATTCAATGGAGGCAGTACACTCAAAGGATTCCTAAGGGATTAGACCATATCGATGGTGGAGGGATAAGGTTAAATGACTACAATTATTGAGACGTGAGATAGTTAAAATTTATTGATCATGCATGATATGGATGTGACATTGCATGTTTTTTGAGATAGGTTAGTACTATAAGCTTTATTCCTTTGCTAAAGTGTTAAATAACACTTTTTCTACCAACAATGATTTTGTTGCGTACTAATTACAATGAGAGCAAGGTGCTTTGTACTAAACAAGGTTCTCACTCTATTGGAATATCACACAATTTTGATTGAGTTACTATTATTGATGATTCGTGTCATGTGGACATTATGAGAAGTAAATATGAGGTCTTTCGAGTTTTTTTGTTAATTTTTTCCATTTTGTCCAAAATCAATTCGGGAAAAACAAAAAAATAAGTTTGATAATGGTACTGAATATGTAAATCAAGAATTCTTCGAATTTTTATCTCATAATGGTATTGCTCATGAACTACATGTGTCAACACTCCACAAAAAAATAGAGTTGCAAATAGGAAAAATTGTCATTATCTAGAGGTAGCTAAAGCCCTCCTTTTCCAAATGTCTATTCTCAAAACCTATTGGAGAGAAGTTGTGTTAACTCCTCATAGCTCATCAATTTGTTAGATAACGTTAGTCTTATTGAATCGTTTTTGTCTTTTTTTCCCTCTACTCCTCCAATGTCAAGTCTACCTTGTTGAATATTTTCATGTTTTATTTATGTTTAGTCTCATAATCCTAATCGCAATATATTAGATCCTAGAATTCTTAAATGTGTATTTATTAGTTATCCTCCTTATAAAAAGGGTACAAATTTTATCATTTTGAGAGTCATCATTTCTATTTCAACGACAGAAAACACTTGAAGCGCAGGAGTTTTCCTTTCTATCCTTACATATTTGTCACATTACTTAGGATTTACCCATTGCATTAATATTGTGTGTTAGACATCTTATTTCTCAATATGTTTGCATTGACAAACTTTCTAATAAACATGGAAGCATTCTTCTTCTCATTGAAGCCATAGAAATTGTTATCTTAGTCCAAGAAATCATAAGAACTGAACAATATAAAAGAAATAACTCCCTCTAACCACCCATAAACCGTCCCCCTGACAACTGTTCTATAACTTCTAATTTTTTACTTTTTTCTGAACATACATTTGAAAGGCTTATCATAATCCTTAAAATTAAGGATAGACACTATTTTCCTATTTACATATTTATGACTTTAAGACTTTGCTATTTGATTTATTTCTTGCAGCTTGCACAGGCAGCAAAGTCTCAGTTTTCCCATGATTACAGTGACCATCTTGCCATTGTGAGGGCCTATGATAGCTGGAAGGATGCCGAAATAGACAATGCTGGACATGAATACTGCTGGAAGAATTTTCTTTCTCCACAATCCATGAAAGTTATTGAGGCTCTTCGAGTGGAATTCTTATCCCTGCTCAAAGATATTGGATTAGTTGATAGAAACATGAGCAGTTGCAATGCATGGAGCTATGATATGTATCTCATTCGAGCAGCTATTTGCTATGGCCTATATCCTGGAATCTGCTCGGTTGTGGTATGTTTTTCAACACTTCATATATGGTATGTATTATAGTAGATAATTAGTCCATACTTTGTCATGCGTATGGTGCAATTTCATTTGCAGCATAAGGATAAGTCATTTTCTCTGAAAACAACGGATGATGGCAAAGTTCTCCTACATTCGGTTAGTCCTTTCAAATCATATAAATATATATATATATATATATATATATATATACATACATACATATATATATATATTGTTTGTTTGTAGTTTTGACCCTGATAAAATGTTTATTTTAATTGACCAGAATTCAGTGAATGCTCGCGAATCTAGAATTCCATATCCATGGCTAGTTTTTAATGAGAAGATAAAAGTGAACTCTGTATTTCTCCGTGACTCAACAGCTGTGCCTGATAATGTGGTACTTCTTTTTGGTGGGAGCATATCAAAAGGAGATACTGTAAGTTCCTTCTGATTCTTCTAATGGTTCTTATGTTTAGTCTAATCGTCTATAAAAGGTTATGGTTATTATCCTCTAGTTTTTAATACTAAGTTGATTTACGGAAATTCCTTTCTTTCTGGCAGGATGGTCACTTGAAAATGTCGGGAGGATATTTGGAGTTTTTTGTGAAACCTGCTGTTGCTGAAATGTACCAGAGTATAAGGAAAGATCTTGACAGACTCATTCACAGTAAAGTAAGTGCAAATTGGTTTCATTCATCTACCAACTTAACCTTGATATTCGAGTCATGCAACTGTAAGGAAAAAGAAACCATTGAAAGTAGAAGAGAAAGTCATATTTAAAATAATACTCCACATCCATAAACCATTACTACTACCGCCAACACTACCATTAGCGGTCATGAAAAACAATGTTAAATCTAGATATGTTATAATTTAATTCTGATCATGTTCTATACCATGTGAAACAAGAAGAGAAAAGGAAAACTTCTGGCATTGCAAGTGTGACTTGTCACTGTTCTCTTATTTTATCGAGAGCTTGACTAACGGAGTTCCTGACTAGCTGCACAATCTTTAAAAGTACAAATAATACTTAGCCTAACTATCATAAGAATAACTAGAAGTGAACTATCGAAACAACTATTTTTTTAACATTAAAAGAAAAAGTGCACGATTTTCCAATGCAACCAACAGGGGCAGAGCTCGACTTGATGATTTTAGGGGACTAAGTTTAAAGTCATATTTACAAACTCAGTTTATTATTAAGTATTAGTCTTAATTTGTATTGATGTATTTCCCTGGTCTCGAATATAAAAAAGAAAAAAGAAAAATAAACACAAGATAGATCTTAGAGGGAGAGTAATAGGACACTTGAATGCTATGAATAGGCAGTCTTAAACCCTATCGGAGGTAACCCATATTGCAATAGTATCATTTTATTATACTGATTTTATTTTAGAAAGAGATATTTTCCGTAAGCTACATTTTCTTGAAATTTGATATCAAGAATGAAAGCGAGATATTGAAAATAAAACTTGATATGTACCACTGCAACTAGCAGTACGCTGTAGCATCTTCTTTTGTTGGACCAACCTGCAATGACTGTAATTTCTATTTAAAATTATTGTTTGCAGTTACAGTTCCCGCAGATGAGCATACACTCATTCCATGAGCTCTTATTTGCTATACGGTTGCTGATTTGTAATGAGAAATGTGAAGGCAAATTTGTGTTTAGTTGCCAGCTCCTTAAACCATCAATGATGACATTGCAACAAGCATTGGTTTCAAGAACAACCAGTGGACCCGGGGGTGATAATACTAAAGGCCAGCTTCAAACATTGCTGACCCGAGCTGGATATGGTGCCCCCTTCTACACAACTACGCAATTGAAGAATAATCAGTTTCGTGCTACAGTTGAGTTTAATGGAGTGCAGATTATGGGCCAACCATATAGCAACAAGAAGAATGCAGAAAAGGATGCTGCGGCTGAGGCACTGCAGTGGCTTATGGGTATACAAACGGGGAATGAGGATATCAATCACATGACAATGTTGCTGAAGAAAAGGAAGACAGATCATAATTGAACAATGAAACATGAAGATGAACCTTGTAAAATGAAAATCTGGATCAAACTGAATACAAATCCTATCAACAAACAAACGCCACCGCATCTTCAGCGAGCAACATGCTGGGGTCCACATGGTGAGCTACGTTGCAGGTCTTCTCCCCGTACTTACTTCCTCAACACACCAATTGTCACGAACAGACAATTGCAATTTTGTTATGCCACTTACCAACATGGCCCCTAATGCACCTGTATATGTATGCACTTGTTAGGATCCTTTACCTATATCACTGAGAAAATTTACAGGTATATAATATAATATGTTAAATTTGTAGGACTTTATCTGCACTAAAATTATTTATCGTCTACATATAAAATTATTTGCGCTAAGTTGTTTTTTGTTTGTTTTGAAAATCAGTAATTTCCTTTCTATTTAATGCACACTGTATATAGAGAAGCATTACATTCACCCATCAACATTTTGTCTTATTAGAATTTCTTCTAATTGGCTTAATTTTACGTTTGGTCTCTGGAGGTTAAAATTTCACAAGTTCAGTATTCAAAGTATCAAACTTGGACGATTTTGGTCCTTTCATCAATCTTCCGTTTAATATATTTTATTGATTTGACTCTGAATGATAATGTGGGAGGTGATGTGTTGCTTATGTTCACATGACTTAACAGCACTTCTAGTCCCTTGTGATTAATGCTTATAAGTTATTAGAATCATATATAATTAGATATTATGCAATCAGTTATCTTATTTCATTTTTTGTTCAGCTTGATACTATGTTTGCTATTATATAGTCTTCTCTTTTATGTAAATATGCATATTTTGATCAATAAATTATTTTATTTCATTATCTTATAATATGATATCAGAGCTGATTTTTTCACATTCATTCTAACAATTTTTGTTTTCTCTCATGGATGAAAAAGTTAATGTCTCATAGTCGATTGTTGTTAGTGTATGTTTGACCTAAATGCTAGTCATTTTCCTAATGATTTTTTTTTTGCTATTTATATCAATCTTTTGTTCAAATGTAAATGTTTCATTGACTCCTGTGTCAGAACTCATTTGCTTATTCTGTCATGTTTACAATCTTAGAAATGTGTTATTGATAACACTCATGTATTCTTGTTGTAACTATTGACATTGTTTAACTGTCTTAAATTTATGCTTTATAATTTTTTTATGTTCCTCATTTCAATTTTAATTTGTTGACTATGACTGTTAATGGACTCATATCAATCACCATTTTTACATATATATTTTTTTCCAATAAATGTTTCACTTCAGAAAGATTGTCAATGATAATCTTATTCAAAGACTGCATGTGTTGCCTCCTTCCGTTTTTTCACAAAAATATTGCAATTTTGTTTCCTTTTTAGTAGTAGTACAAATACTGCTTTTGAGAATACCTACTTTTGACATGCTAGATTTGGATATTATAAAGTTCTTTGATTTTTGAGTAATGATATTCATATTATTTTTTTTTTACTTCCAATCATCAAATTTTTCCACCTGGTAAGGTTATAAGAAGACTATCTTTCACTTCACCCAACAATATGTATCAATCATTATTCCATATAATACACTGAGATTTGGGAATCTTGTGGTGGGCCTACTTATGATCATAAACGTTTTTTCTTAACTTTGGAGGATGATTGCTGTTATTTTAATGGGATATTTTTTTCTCACACATGAATATGAAGTTGTTCTCAGAATTTTTACTTTTAATTAACTCAGTATTTATTTTTTCAAATACAATCTTTTCTTGAATATGGTTGGTCATTTCATTAAAGATGTAATTTGAGATTTATTGTTACATGAAGAAATCAACGTTGAAAAGCAATCACAACTATAAAGAGTTTAACCTAAAAATTTGTGTATAACATTTGGTCAATAAGTGAGCTTTGAGATAATCAATAGTACCATCAAGATCAACTATGATAGAAAAGCCCACCTACAACAAACTTCCCAGAAGATAAAGGAACGAGTTTTCAAGTTTTATTATTTTTATACACTCTTATTTCATCAACTGGTTTGAGAGCAACTAAAAGTTCAGGCATTAACTGTAGATTTTAGCATTGACACAAATAAATTGATGAAAGACAAGTATAAAATAATGGAAGTAGCCTATAATAAATCAAACTAATACACTAAATAGATGAAAGATAAGTATAAAATAATGGAAATAGCCCATGATAAATCAAAGTAATACAATGAGGAGAAGAATTATGGGTAGAGCTTATACTTATCATATTTAAGTGTGAAAGTTTGATTGGATGAAAAAGTTGACACTAGAAGAGAGTCATCCCATGGATGATGAGAAATTTTTTGAAGACTATACACCTGAAGAGGTGGGGTACCTGTAGGTACATTAGACACAATAAAAGGATCACAAGCAATTAGGATGACATGATCAGATGGAAACACAGTAAGTGAACAATTAAACTTAAAGTAGAGGGATAACAAAGTGAAGGTGACATTAGCTAAAATGAAATAATGACTAAGAAAAGGAGAGAAACATGTATACAGTTTTTGTTATCTACTGAATCCTAAAAAGACATGTTTATATGATCTAGCAATAATTTATCAAGACAGGATCAAAATTGTGAACAATGCACGTGAACTAAAAAACTCTTCTTAGTGGTAAAAGATAACGAGGTTAATGAGAAAATAAAATAAAATGAGGAATTTTGTTAAAAATAATACATCTTGAATAATCATCAATATAAAGTGATGAAAAATTGAAATTTTGAATTTGACTTAACACAACTCGGTTCCTAAATATCATAATGAACAAGGCAAAAAAGAAACAAAACATGTTGTGAGACACTTGTAAGGAAAGAACTATGGTTGTATTTTTCTAATTAACACAACTCACAAGACAAACTTGATAACTTAGATAAACTTGGAACAACCTACTACATCTTGGCAATGCTAGAAAGACTCAACTTAGCATGAATGAGAAAGAGAGAATACATGATCAAACTAACATGAGCAAATGTTGTAGATGATAAAGACCTGTAAAGCATAACATTGATCAATTTTGTGACCAAGCTTATGAGAATGCTCACACTTGTGACGCTTTTTGCATAGCTTATAACAATGATTGTCATCATCATGTTAAGATACCAATATTGAAGAGTCATCAAAGGTGACTAAAGAAGGTATTTTAGTGGTTGACTTACTTGACACACGCAAAAAGGTGGAACAAGTGAAAGTAAATGTACGTATAATAACCAAAAATTTGATCATAGATATGCGAATAATCATTAAGAAGTCCATGTAAAACCAAAAACATGAAAAACTTTTATCGTTCCTCTTGTTCTTGAGAAGGAGTAGAGAAAGAGGCAATTACAACTTTTTGAAGTCATGGAGAACATGAACTTTATCTAAATATTCATCCATTGTACCAATAAGATATATGGGAGTAACAATATTTAGGATATTTTGACAAATATCAAAAAGATGTTGAGTATCATTGTTGTATGATGGGCGCCCACACAACAACCAAATATAACAGCAAGTATATTGGGGTAGTTTGTAGTATATAAAGTGTCGTATCCACAAAATTTTCGTAGAAAACACAATGTTCTAACTAGTTTGGTTGTTGATAATATAGTTAAAATGATTGTGAAATGTATAAAACAGATTTGTTTCATGAAAATAAAGTAAGAGATGTCAGAAAACAATTTGGATTACAAAACGAGTAACTTTTAGATGATTAAGATGTGTGGAATAGATTTAAAGCTTATGATCGCCAAACTTCAGTATGATTCTTTAATGACTACTTGAATGGATCACCTGATTTAAGATAATGACTATGTGTCCAACTACAATCTTATATCAATTCCTAACATCTAAATGTAGTGTTGTCAAAATGGGTTAAAATCTGCGGGCCAACCCGGCCCACCACAAGTTCGGACTGAGTTGAATTTGAAAAAAATGTAATTTTTTTATACGGGTCAATTTTCAAGCTGATCCACTCAGAACCTGACTCACCTGGGTTGAATGCCTGGTGAGTCGAGTTAGATGACCAACCCACCTAATTTAATTTAATTATTTATTATTATGTGTTTCAATATTATTAGATTACATTTTTTTATTGTATTGTGATAATGATTTTGGTAATCATAAGTCCATTTCGAAACCTTTAAATACAGGTCAAAGGTAAAGAGATATATGATTACATTTATTGCAAATTTAAGATTTTACTGTGATCCCGATCAATTAAATTATTGATTTAAACGTTATAGTGTCTCTAACTAGTATTCACTGGTACGATTTGGAGTTCGTAAAAAACATAGAAAAAATTTAACTAACTATGTTGAAGACAACTTAAGTTAACCTTAACAAAAAAAATTGTGAATAATTGTTTTCTAAAAATCTTCCGTCACCACCATGAGAATTTAAAATAACTTCAATTTGATTAGAATAAAATGGTTGAGAATTATCACGACTTCCTCGTATGAAGGTTGTGTCACTTTAACAAACTTACTTGTAATTTTTTTTAAATTACCATAATTTTAACTTTAAATTGTCCCATCATAAAAAAATATCACTATTTTTATAAATATGTAAGTAGAATAACCAGCATTTTATTTTCCGTAGATGATAAGTTATAATATACATTCATTGTTATGTAACTAAATTATAATTACATTTTTATACGACCAAATTACAATGATTTTATTTATTTATTTATTAAATAATTTAATTTAAAAAAAAGTAGTTGTCGACATTTCTTTTCTTTATTTTCCATTTCTGCTGGCACTAATACTAAACCAACCGCTGCGGTTTCATCACTGGCAGCACCAAATGGCAATGGCATCAGCGTCACTCCCTTCCCCTTTCCTCTTCCTTCTCACCTCTATTTTCATGTTGCTTTACCTCTCCCTCCTCACTCACTCCATCAACGCCGACTTCCACCCTCTAATGTCGTTCAAAGCCGCTTCCGACCCTTCCAACAATCTCGCCCAGTGGAACTCCACAACCTCAGACCCCTGCACTTGGTACGGTGTCTCTTGTCTCCGTAACCGTGTCTCTCGCCTCGTCCTTCAAGACCTAAACCTCACAGGCTCCATCCACCCCCTAACCTCTCTCACCCAACTTCGTATCCTCAGCCTAAAACGCAACCGTTTCAACGGCCCCATCACCTCTCTCGCCAACCTCACCGCGCTCCGCCTTCTCTTCCTCTCCCACAACAACTTCTCCGGCCCCTTCCCCGCCACGCTCACCTCTCTCTACCGCCTTGATCTCTCACACAACAGTCTCTCCGGCGAAATCTCCCCCACTTTCAACCGCTGGACCCACCTCCTCACCCTCCGCCTCGACTCCAACCGTTTCCGCGGCCGCATTCCCAGCAACATCAACCTCTCTCGTCTTCAAGACTTTAACGTCTCAAACAACCTCCTGACGGGTCAAATACCCGAATCGCTCTCGGGTTTCCCTGGATCCGCGTTTTCTCACAACCCCTCCCTCTGCGGAGCTCCCTTGCAAGAATGCATAGCCAAAGGCGAGGCAATCATCCCGGCCCTGGCTTCCCCATTGAAGCCGCGAAACGACACCGGTTTTTCCAAACCCCGCGGGCGGGAGAGAATAATGGGGGTGTTGGTCTTGGTGGGTATTGTGGTGGGGGACGTGCTGGTGCTGGCTTTGGTGTCGCTGCTTCTCTACTACTATTTCTGGAGGAACTACTCTGCTGCTGCACAATTGAGAAAAGAGGAAAAAGAGAGGAGGAGTTGGAAGACGG